TGGTCTACAATTTATCACATATCCCATTTTTTCTAATTTTTTAATTTTTTTTTTAATTATTCATAAAAAACCGGGAACCCTTCATATAAATCCTATAAAAAATGCTAAATTAATCAAGTTACATATAAAAAAGCATATGTCATATATAGCCTAACTAAGTTTGTTTGTAAAGTATCGACCATTTCCAAAATTTACACTTTATATTTTTTCTTGTGCAATAGCATAATTTGTGAATAATTAATAAGATTCAATATTCGACCTATAGTAATTTTATCACTTACATCAGACCAAACAACACGAGTTTTTCAATAATTAAAAAGCTCTAGATATTGATAATAGATCTTTTACATGTAAAAAGTGTGTCGTTAGTAGATCCTACGATTCCACAATACATACTTTTAAAAGTATTTGTTTATAGTTAATAAAAGAAGTAAATTACTTCACGCTAACGTAAATCTTTCACAATGTTTTGCGGTAATTAATATTTGGGACAATTGCAAAAATATCGTTTTTGGTGTGTACATTTGCAAAAATATCATTTAAGGATATCCATTTGCAAAAATATCACTAATTATGGATTTTTAAAACATAAATCTTAAAATTATAAACCTTAAAAACTGTTTGACCCCTAAAATCCCTAAAACCCTCAAAACTAAATCTTAATACAACATAGTTAATCCAAACATAAATGATATAATAATTTTTTTTTTTGAAAAATTGGCATTTTTTGCAAATATTTTAAAAATGTGGTATTTTGAAAAGTGGTATTTTTAAAAAAATTTCTTAATATAATATTTAGGAGAGTTGTCTCTCTTTAATTTCACTTAGACGAATTTGTGTTCACGAGTTTGCAGAGCCGGATATGGACATAGTTTTGTGAAATATTTAACGAGACTCTCATTTGACGAGGGATCCTACTTTAAAAAATATATATTATATATGTATTTAATGAAATGTTTGAAGTGAAAAAAAAGGAAAATTTTAATAAGAAATTTGGCTAACAAAATATTGTGTGGATACCAAATGTAAAAATTAATATAAAATTATATGAGAAAAATTTTAAAGAAAGAAATAGTTTATTTTCTTTTTTTCTATTTTATATATAAAAAAATAATTTGTTTGGGCCCCGACTATCTCAGATCCGACTATGCGAGTTTGTGAGATTCTTGATTGCATAAAGACAACGATAATACTTTTTTTTTTTAGACCAATTATAATATACACTAATCATCCTCAGTGTACAATAATATGATTTGTAGCTACTACTATTTCATCTTTGGTCCACTCGTTAATCTATAACTAAAAAAAATAAGAAAAATATGTAGACCAGAGACTTAATTATCTAAATTCTCAAGCTCTTAATTCCACCGCTCATTAATGTGATCCTTAAAAGAAAACTAAAGAACCTTTAAAAAGCTACTTGATGAAACCTCTCAATAACTCTCTCCCATCAAAAATCAATTCACATATGCAAGAAAAAAAACCTCAAACACAACACAAAATTACACAAGTCACCA